GAGTTGTAATTCATACTCGTCATGACATTAAATTGTTGAATAATATGTATCAAAGCAATCGGGAAAAGTCGACTGAGTGATGGGATGCAGGCGCGGATCCAGGATTTCTGGAAATCAATTTGAAATTTAGTGTGCTGACATTTGAAAATCGTGCCGGCCAATATTTCACTCAGTGGGAGGCGGGCGGGGGGGGGGGGGGTAGTGAGCACTATATGTTTACTTAGATGGGAAGTCTACCCTCATATTCGTTCGTTCGTGTCTCCTTAGTTCAAGATTAATGTATCTTGATCTTCGAAGTATTCCTCATATTAATTTACTTTTAATTGAAACAGAAAAAATGAGAAGAACAGGAAACGATTAAAAATAAGAAAGTTATGAATTTCGAAGTTATCATCAAATTGGCACCAATCTTCTAATTGATCTGTACAGAAATTGTATTAACTTCCATTTTCTTTGTTATTGGTGACGGAATTGATTTGTTTCATACAGGGATTGTATACAAACATAATTGCAGTAATTATATTTACGGTGAATGTATTACGGAATTAATAAGTTTCAAACAAGAATTGTATAAAAACATATTTGCAATAAATATATTTACGGTGAAAGTATGACTGACAATTATATTAAGGGAAAATGGACATTTTCGATGTGTTTTTTTTTGGACAACAAGCAAATGGGGGAGGAGACGTCGAAGAATACGTCACAGAGTTGCCAATTTGTCTTTGATTGATTGCAACTTGTTTTGTTAATCACAAATTTCTTATTTTTAATTGGATCTTGATCAAAATTTTACTTACATGTTCTTATATTTTTCAGCTTCTGTAAAAACCAGGTTAATATCAAAATAAACTTCGCCTTCACGTAAGCACCTTAGGTGGACACATGAATCGCAAAAAAAAAAAAATCATTTTATACACTTTAAGATGTTTCCCTTGTAATCTCCGTAATTAATTCTGCCTATCTTGTATAAAGGGTGTCTCAGAAAAAAATACAACAAACATTTAACTTGCAAATTCTCTTAACTAAACATTGCAGGTGAAGTCAATGTGGTACAATAAAGCATTTAGATGTGATGTGAATACCGTACTCTAAAGAGAAATCAGACATATATTATATGCATTTTTATGTACATGTTTTATTGTGAACCTTAAATTTGTCACATGTTGCATTGACGCACCCTGTAACAGGGGCGGCGGAGCGACTTCCAAAAAAGGGGGGGGGGCACCAAAAAAGGGCACCTACAAAGGGAAATCTCAAAAGCGAAAATATATAGACATTGGTATAAACATGTACCCCTTCATTGTGTTTATATTATCTGGGATGCTTTCGCTTGTTTCTCTTTATACATCATACAAGATATTGCTTGAATATCATACTTTGCAGTTGGGTACTGCGACGGTCTCAATATTCATTTGCGAGCGAGGAAATTTTGAAAGATTTGTGAGGTCGCCCTAGTAGTTTTGTGTGTTGCGAAAATATATTTTTTTCCTATTTTTTCCCTATTTTCTGGAAATGCAGACTATTTTTTTCCTATTTTCAAGTACAAACTATTTTTTCCCTATTTTTTTCACCTATATTTTTTTTCAGACTATTTTTTTCCTATTTCCTATAAGAAAAAACAGGAAAAAAATAGTCCTATTTTTTTTCCTATTTTCAAGTACAAACTATTTTTTCCCTATTTTTTTCACCTATATTTTTTTTCAGACTATTTTTTTCCTATTTCCTATAAGAAAACAGGAAAAAAATAGTCCTATTTTTTTCTTATTTTCAAGCACAAACTATTTTCCCCCATTTTTTTCACCTTCAACTTTTGTGGACTATTTTATTCCTATAAAAATAGGAAAAAAATAGTTCTATTTTTTCCTATTTTCGAGTACCAAACTATTTTTTCCCTATTTTTTTCACATTCATCTTTTTCAGACTATTTTTTTCCTATTTTCTCAAAAAAAATATGAAAAAAATAGAACTATTTTTTTCCCTATTTTTTCATCTTAATCTTTTTCAGACTATTTTTTCCCTATTTTTTCACCTTAATCTTTTTCAGACTATTTTTTCCCTATTTTTTCACCTTTTTCTTTTTCAGACTTCTTTTTACCTATTTGCGATTAATATTTTCTTCCTATTCTTTGCACTTGAATTTTTTATGACATGATACAAATTTGTAAACTATTTTTTGTCTATTTTCTAAACTTGCATATTTTCATTGTTTATGACTGGCATCCTTTTCAAAAAGCCCGCTTCTCCTGCCATTATCTCTGTTGTTCATTTTGCGACTTATTGGTGGTTTTTAGCTGTGGGGTCACATATTGAATAGTGAGCTCAAAGATGACCATAAATAAACAATGTGTAAAAAGAAAATGTACGAAATTTCAATTTTGTTCCTTTATCAATATTCTAGTCCCACTCGTAGAGAAACGAGTTTGTTGTCGAATGACGGACCGTCGACGAGCGGAACTGGCCCCAGAAAACAGCTGAAAAGGTTTATTTCTGAAACTTAATTATATTATGATATACATATTTGTATTGTGTCTGTTGTTGAATATAATGCTACTTCATAGACATAGTAGGCCTATAGAATGTTATTTTACGTATCAATATTCCCATGTAGTGTTGAGGTTGTAGACTAGCTAGATGAGTACTAGATCTACACAACTTCTGAGTGAAGTGTAGTGAATCTCCAAGTGCAGTGTAGTGTCTGTTAGTGAATGAGTGAATGTAAACAAACGTGATTACAATAAATCCACGTATAAATTTCAGATTTTGTACCATTACTACGTCTGTCAATTATATTGCCTTGCATAATGTTTTGATGTGGTTTTAGGCTAAATTGTATCTCAAATTATTTTTCTAGGAATCAGAAAACACAACCTGCTAAAGCACCACGCAAGAAGAAGAGCAAGTCTTCCAAGTCCGAGAGTGTGTCTGCGAGGTATGTCCTTAACTAAGTAGAAATCTAAATCTATTGTTGATAATTTTTTGGGGTTTATTTATTTCATGTTTGTTAGTTAAGATCTGACATCAAAATGTTATAGTAGTTTACCTCATCATTATGCTAGCACAATATTTGCAGGTGGCACAAGTTCTACCTATAGACCTAGATCTACATTATTTTTCTCTTTCCTTTTTATTTTTTTCTTCAAAAAATTGTTCCTTTACTATTTTCTTTTCTGTGTTTTATGTTTTATTTTATGTATGTTCACCCAATATATCTAAGAATAAAATAACTCTATGTTATTCTTTGTGATTGCGAAAAATCACATCTTGTAAAGAGGAAAAAACCCAATCCTGATGGGGTTAAAAGTACACTCTCATAACGGAAGACTGAAAAGACATTGATAAGTAACATAATTATATCGTTTATAAATGTGAGTGAGCGTAGCAAGTGATCTTTGGGGGAAATTGCCCTTAGTCATTTTAAATTAGGAGCACGTTTAATGATGAGAGGAAAAGGGGACACTTATCAGAGGGATAAGACACCTTTTAGAAAAGAAAACGAGCACGTGTCAAAGTACAAAGAGTAAATATCAGAGGTGAAAGTAGGGCACTTCATATACCTGGAAAGAGGCATTCACCAGTGTTGAAAAAACGCACTTATGAGAATGGTAGATGGGCATTTGTCGACGCAAACGGGGCACCCTTCAGTTTTTGATAGGGGCATTTAGGAAAAAGGGATTTGAGGGGGTTTTCATGAGAAGGGGAAAGTGGCTGTTATTAAAAAGAAAAAAAGGGGCACATGTTAAAATAAACGGGGCACTTATCAGAAATGAAAAGGGGTAATTATGAAAAGGTAAAGGGGCACTTGTAGAAGAACGAAAATGGACACACTCCATACTATTCACCTATTAGGTGAAAAGGGGCATTTATGAGAAGGGGAAGGAGCTTTTTTTTTAATGGGGCACTTATCATAAGGAAATGAGGCACTTATTAAATATGAAAAGGGGCACATGTCAAAATTAAAGGTACACTTATTGAAGTTATTAAAAGGGGAGAGGGGCACTTCTTACAAAGGGAAGGGGGCTCTTGTCAACGTAAAAGGGGCATCTCTCAAATGTGAATAGGGTAATTATTAGAGGTAAAGGGGGCACTTATCAAAAGTAAAAAGGGGCACTACTCGTACATGAAAGGGGGCACTAAATACATATTAAAAAGAGCACTTATGAGAAAAACAAATGGACACTTATTGCAAAGGAAATTGGGAACTTGTCGAAGGAAATGTCAAAATAAAAGGGCCACTTATCATAGATAAAAGGGACACCTTTCTAATTAAAATGGGAACTTTTCATATGTAGAAAAGGGCACTTCTGACGAAGTTATAGGGGCACTCTTCATATGTAAAAAGGGTCACTTTTGGGGCACTTGAAAAAGTTGGGGGGATGCGCTGAGACCCCCCCCCCCCCACCGAGCGCCACCTCTGCCCTTTAAACTACTTCTGGTTTCATTATTTCTTGGGAAACATGAATTGCAGCCAACATTTGTTATAAATCCAGGATTAAACTTATCTCTGACACAACACGCATAAAACATCATGAAAACAAATTAAAACATAATCTTTTCATGAGGAAGAATCAGAATAAATATTGCAAGAAAGTTTGGATGCAATATATTACCATTTATTTGATATCTATAATTATATTAATCATTATTACGTGAACAACACATTCGACACTGACCCCCCCCCCCCTCCCACCCCCTCCCCTCCCTAACTGTTCTTGAATAGAAACTAAAAGCTGTCATACGTAGCCTATTTTATATTATTAAATGTCTTCGTGTCAAATCAAATCAACCTTGGTTTAAATTTGGGAGACACATTTACATGTATAACAAGTCTTGAACATGTTTAGGTGGCGATTAAATATAGTTTCTCATGTATACTGCGAAATTATATTTTATTTTTAGCTATCATGCAGGCCCGTTTTGAGAAGAAAAATCCTAGCAAGACATTATTTACTGCCGTTTTATTAAGTCTTGGAGGGGACACATTTGCTGGTAATACTCACATAGTTATGTTGTTCAATTGTCAAAAAAAATCAGCTCAGTAGTATTATATCTCTGCCACACTTCCGGAAGGTCGGATTGTTGATGGAGAAACGCCCATAATTCTCGAAAACCAGTTACTTTGCAGAGGCGACATAAATGTGCATCATGTGAATCCCAAACGTGTAGTGTATAATCCAATCAGAAAGGTCCAAGTTATACTATTCCCCTTTTCTCAGGGTTTTTCCCTAAATGACAACACGAGTTCGAGTCGCGGGGACTTCATGCAGTTCTAATGTGGTGGACTGGTAGCCGCCGAAGTACGTGTGCCTGTCTTGCACCGCTCTACCACATGTAGCAGACACAGAATTATACTCGTGTTATACCATGCCTATGATTATACCAGTTCGTTATACTTGGCTGTACCATGAACCCTGAGCCGCGTCTCACAAAACCGTCATAAGTACAAGTTCCGCGACATCCTGTTGAAACGCGTGTTAAACTTAATACACGCATTTCAAAGGGATGGCGCTGAACGTGTTCTTATGACGGTTTCGTGAGATTCAGCCCAGGTTAATACACAGCTCGTGACATATATAGCAGCGCATCAGACTGTGAGCAATTGTATTGGCCTATTGTATTTACCCATATTCTATTGATCTAGTGGAGTTTGTTTAAATGCCCCATTCACAACGAAGAGCCCGACGCTAGAAGGTTACTTACAAAACACAATTCATGGGGCGCGACGGCTCACTGGTAGAGCAGTGGACTTGTTACCGGGTGCAGTGGCGGAACCAGGGCGGGCGGGGGGGGGGGGGGGGGGGGGGGCGACAGGTAAAAACAGGTTAATTTTACCTTTATTTGGAGACGGGCCTCCTCCCTTGGTGCCACAAAGGGGGGGGGGAGGGGGTGCTTTTTTAATGTTTGTTTTGGGGAAACAAAAATTAGTGCTTAAATACTACCCCCCCCCCCTCCCACCCCCGCTTATTCACCGGCTAGCTGTTTCACCACCTGTTTGGCCCCCTCCCCTGCCGGCGGCTGGATCAGCCCCTGACCGGGAAGTTCCAGTTTCGAAGCTAATTCGATGCACCAAGTCGCCGGGAGAGGACTAAAAAAGGTGCCGGTCCCCTGGTTGCAGGCATTTTAGTAGTCATCAAAACAAATATAGTTCTACCCCTCCATCATAACACAATCAATGTGTTTGCAGTAAAGCAGTCAGCTTTTAAATGCTCTTAAGTACAATTGTTCGTCGATCATCCCCCCAAAATAGTTAGAATGCAAATAAACATTGAAGCATTTTGGCCTATATCAAGATTGTAGAAACCATGGGTGGCATTCTCGAAAGCGGACTAACTTTAGTCCATGGTTTAATTCACAAACTAAGTATGCAATGCCAATTGTCCATATGAATATGTTTTTGAATAGTTTAATCTGTCACTAAATTAAAATAAAATGTAATAACAAAATTAATAAACAACAACATGTCTATGATATAATTATGTTATCATTATAATTTAGGGTCATATCAAATTATTCAAACATAATGGACACTTGGCATTCCATTCTTAGTCGGTGGATTAAACCATGAACTAAAGTTATTCCGCTTTCGAGAATACCACCCCTTGTGTTCTAGAAGCACCCAACTCAAGGGGGCAGATGTTTCCATCTATCAATGGGAAGGGGCAAAATCATTCATCCCCCTCCCCTCCGATGCCCGCAAGGAGAAAAACAATTAGCCATTACAAAATGAATATTTACCGAGTTTGAACATTACAAATTGTACTTTTCTCATTTGCTTGGTACGCTCCCTCGCATTTTAGTAGAAACAGCGAAACATTGTTTCAAGAGACTGTACTGTAGATACTCAGTCCTATCAGGCCATAGAAGCTAGGGTGTGGGTATCGGCTTTCCTCTATTAGACAATAGGGACTTTTAGATTTGCACGTCGACATAGTGGACTGCTACGTGTGACGTCCTATTAAGGCAATGTGACGTCCTTAACAGGACGACGTCACACGCAGCAGTCCACTATGTCGACGTGCAAATTTAAAAAGTCCCTATTTAAATGGGTAACAGGGCAAACTCGCTTTGCCTCCGCCAAGGCTTGCAAGGGGATAATTGCCTTTGAATAATTTTGCAGTATAATAGTATGCTTTTTCGTGCTCCGAAATACAGTTTAAACCTACCCGAATCTTTTGTTCTTCTTCACACAGTAGCTACACCCTCCTGTACAGGGTATGTCAATAGAAGGAGTGTTTCTCACCATGTGTAAAAACGCTGACTACCATAGAGAGGGATGGTGAGAAGGTGCTTCCCTTTATTGAAGGGAGCTCGTACGTATGTAGTCCATAATCTGCTCGGTTCTTTATATTCCCTACACACTTGATTCAAGCGAAGCCGCCGAAGAGGGCGTTATCAACAAACTCATGTTTATGCTCATCAGTTCAGCCATTTCCGACGGGCGCTATTTAATTACTACGCCATCAGCGGCTGGTAGTAAGTAAGTAGGGGGAGGTAGCGTTGGTGTGGTGGAGATCAAAATTAAATAGGCCAGATTTTCGACTAGTACGTATGTGATGAAATCTAAAAATTCTATGTAGCTAGAGTGTTTTCCCTCAAAGCTGCAAAAGAGAAAGGTGAGAATGAAGTAGAGAAAAAGGGAACGGAAGAGAGAATCAAATAGTGAGAAAGAAAGAGAGAAAAGGAAATTTGGAAAAGAGAAGGGACCAAAAGCATGGAAGACAAAAAATGCATAGCAAGGAAAGAATATAAAGATAGTATACAAAACAGGGGCGGGGCACGTGACGCCAATGCGAATTTTGTATATATTTATTTAATATTTGCCTTTTGATCCAGGCACTATTTGTGTACATGTTCCTCGTTTTTAATCATCAATTATCAACAACCTTTAGTGTTTGGTGGGGGGGGGGGGGCATTTTAAGATGTTGTATGTGTTGGGGTGGGCAGGGCCCCAAAGCCCCATTTTTTGGAGCCGCTACTGGCATGGCCTCCCCAAACGTGGACCTGAAACCTGGACCTGGAAACTACATTTACATTGAATTCAAGATGAAGTTTAGTTCTTGTCATGCAATTGCAATGTTAAGAAAGTATGAGAGGGACTAGTTGATCATATATCACATCGATATTTATTATACTGTGAGGTTTTTTGAAACCTTAAAATAAAAAGTGATTAAAGCTATGAGTTACATGCAACGTAAATGTGTATATATGGGACTGCACAAGCATGTGGCATGAGAGCGGTTGTCCACAACCTTTACTACTATTACTTGTCATATTTCGTGACTAGTTGATCATATATCACATAGATATTTCTTATACTGTGAGGTTTTTTGAAACCTTAAAATAAAAAGAAATTAACACAGTCTAGCCATGAGTTACATGCAACGTAAATGTGCATATGGAACTGCACAAGCATGTGGCATGAAAGCGGTTGTCCACAACCTTTATCAATATTACTTGGCATATTTCGAGTATGAGGGCATTTTGAATAAAGAGCCATTCTGTTCAAAGGGGCGGTTTTCTGTGATACTCATCCACACTAACAAACGAAGAATGAAAAAACCTTACACATATAAACCTTACCGAGTGTTTATTTGTTTGCAATATTTTGTGTTGTTCTTATTCTGTAAGTTTGTTGTTGTTGTATTGTTTGAATGGGAATTACACCTTTCAAGTTTTTAAAAACTTTTCTTTGTACTTTCAATTTGTTTCTTTTATTACATACATTTAACAACTAAATTATTCATACCCTTGTAAATGTGATATTTTTGTGTTTTTAATAAATTAAGCAAGAAAGGTGGACTGGACAAATATGAGGGCGTTTGTTGGATTCATTTTAAATGTAAGCTTTAAAGCTTATCTGCCGTAGTTTACAGGAGGGATTAGACCGCTCTGCAAGGTCACTGGACAGGTGGTTATCTCATCAACTCAGCTCTCAGTTAACATAAGAAAAAGAGGATCATGGGGGACCAATGGTCACCGATTATGCGTTGTTTGTTATATAGAGGGCGCAAGTAGCTACCAGTAGTGCAGTGGGCCTTTAATATGTCACATTCTCCCAACAAACATAAATCGGGACAAATCAATTGTTTTGTTATACTTCAACCATTACAACGCTTGGTAGGGGTATGCGTAATGTCGTTGTTAACTGTATGCGTACATATTAATGATATTTACACTGTATATAACATTGTCATTATTTCATTGAGACAAAGCATACATTTTACGGTTGAACATTTGAGCAAATAAAATAAAACGTTGAATGCTTGTCCAGACAGGGTTTCCTTTAAAGGTTGGACTTTGCCCCCAATTTGCCCTAGATATTTCGGCTAAATCTCGGGTCAACGGAATAATAGAAGGGAGCGCTTTGCATACAGAGACAGCTAGACAACACGATGCCAACACGGCACAATAACTTTACAGCCAAAACACTATTTTGTAACATCGTCGTTTTTTTTTTTTTTTTTTTTTTTTTTGGGGGGGGGGGGGGGACTGCTATTTACAATACTAGAAATACCCATAACGAATCGTCGGTGCTTGCTCGGTTCAATTTGTGGTGAGTTGTCCTCATGCGTAACTTGTGACTGTTTGATTGCAGTGTAAAAGCAGCTTATAGATTTTCGCCTTCATCTAGAACCAAACATGCGATACTAGTTTAATAAGTTCAATCATTGCAATAACCCCCAAAATGGCTGTTCGACACCTCGGTGAGATTGTCGTGATTGTATGCCTGACGTTGGTCACATCTGGGTCCTCGTACGCGGAACAATTACCCAATGTCGTGTTCATTCTCGCTGACGATTACGGATTCAACGACGTTGGCTACCATGGTCGATCGCACGGGTCTGCAATACTGACGCCGAACCTGGACAGGCTCGCGGGCGAGGGTGTTAAGCTAGAGAACTACTACGTTCAACCGATCTGCTCTCCAACGAGGAGCCAGCTCATGTCAGGAAGATACCAGGTAAAAACCAGGAATAATTAATCTAGCAACGCCTCTTCAGCCCGCTGTTAATAGTAAGATAAGTAAATTAATAAATTAATTAATGAATATATATATATAGATGTGAATAAATTAGAATAAATACACATAAATATAAGGATTACAAATAGAGAAATTAGTAAATGACTTCTTTATCGTTCGTTCGTGTCTCCTTAGATCAAGATTACTGTATCTTGATCTTCAGAGTAGTTGTTACAACCGGCCGTGTCAAACACGTTGCCCCGTGGTGCGAGATAGGACTCTTGTAGCATGCCCCCACTTTTTTATTAAACTGCTAGACTATAGTTTTGTTCAGACGGAGGCAAGTTACCCTAGGGTAAAGGTCGTGTTAAGAGCTAGTCGGAGTAAATATGGTGAGGTAGGTGTAAAGATAGGAGTAGTGACCGTCTGAACGATGATCGTGTTAGTCACACCCCGACCTATTTACTCCTAGAAAAATCCAGGAGTAACT